GTGTCTGTGTATATCCTCCAGCACACTTTAAATCATCTCTGGATTATTTGGACTATCTAGTACAACACAAATGGCTTGTAAATCCTTAGGAAATAATAATAACAAGGAAAAAAGGTCTACACGCATTCAGTGCAGATTCAATTCTTAAAACTATTTTCAAAATCTTCAGATACAAAAAATACTGACATGGAGGACCAATTGGAATTTCACACTTAGGGAAAAGCTAAAGGAAGAATCAATCTAGGTTTCCCTAACATAAGCGATTCACATTTTCATTTCATCTCCTTTTATTTCCATCTGTTGTTTTCAATGTTTATGTACATGTTATTATTTTCTAATATTTTTGACATCATGCTCCTTATCAAACATTTGAATGCATATTTCCTTAATTAGTAGGACATTTTCTGCAAAACTATAGTATAATTATCAAAATAGGAAAATTGATATCAGTGCCATTTTATTTGTTAAGTGTATATATCTTCAAATTCCATTAGTTAACTTAATAATGTTCTTTCTGGACATATTGAAAGTATTTTCTGGTCTACTGTCATGTGCTACATTGGGCTGCATTTTCTCTTTAGTTTCCTTTGATCTGGAAATCTTGTCTTTCATCTTTCATGATTTTCATGTTTTTGAGCAACACAGGGCACATATTTTACAGAATTGAAGGGTATGTAACAAGCTTGGATTTACACACAAAAGTCTTGTGCCTTTCCTACTGCTCCGTGGCAATGGTTTGTCCCAGAAATAGTAATGTCCATCTGCTTTGAGGCACAAATTATCTACTTGGCTAGTGAAAGACCCTTCCGCTTTTGATATGCTCCAATGTTCTTTGACCACTTTTTTGCTTTGTAACATATGTTCCTAGTTCATTTTTGTACTTTCTCACCTCTAACATTAACTTTACCAAAGATTATAAATATGAAACCTAGAAATCAAGCTGTGCAGAAAGGCCAGTGGCTCAAACTTGTAATCCTAGCTACTTGGAGGCTAAAGCTAGGATGATTGTGGTTTGAAGCCAGCCTGGACAAACATGAGGTTGTAATCTTAACAGAAAAAAAAATGTAGGTGTGGTAGTGTATATCTGTCATTCCAGTTACTGTACGGTGCATAAATAGGAGGTTTTTGGTGTAGGCTAACCTTCAAAATGCAAGATCCTAGTTCAAAACCAACCAGAGCAAAAATTGATGGAACCATGGCTCAAATGGTACTACATCTGCCTAGCAAGCATGAGGCCCTGAAGTCAAACTCTAGTACCTCAGAAAAGAAGAAAGGAAGAAAGGAAGAAAGAAAGAAAGAAAGAAAGAAAGAAAGAAAGAAAGAAAGAAAGAAAGAAAGAAAGAAAGAAAGAAAGAAAGAAAGAAAGAAAGAAAGAAAGAAAGAAAGAAGGAAGGAAGGAAGGAAGGAAGGAGAGAGAGAGAGAGAGAGAGAGAGAGAGAGAGAGAGAGAGAGAGAGAGGGAGGGAGGGAGGGAGGGAGGGAGGGAGGGAGGGAGGGAGAAGGGAGGGAGGGAGAAGGGAGGAAGAAGGGAGGAAGAGAGGGGAAGGAAAAAAGAGAGAAAGCAGAGAATCTGACTCCCTAGTATATTCATTGTTATTAGAGCTTCACTGCTTATAGTTCACCAGGAATTGCTAGAAAGCTCTTTACCTATCTCTCGGTCTACCCTCATATATTTGAAGCCATTGGTTGAAACTGATTCTTCCAGCTAATCCAATTCCACTTCCCCTTTTCCATCATTGCCACTCTCCTACCTAGCCATGAAACCTGGCTTCCATCATCCACAATATATTTGTTGATTTCCTAAATAATTTGAAATTCTAGGATTGTGTTTTGTAGTGGTGGTGAAGTCATAGACTTCTTGTGATTTTATTTGTTCTTGTTGAGTTGCATATATGTGTGCACACATGCATGTTATATCTATGCTCTAGAAAATTTGGATTACATGATTACATGATTGTCATTACCATAGCTACCTTCTAAGTTTGAATAGCCATATGTGGTGGCAGGATAATTATCATGATTTTGAAGTTGTGGTGAGCAAGAACCATATTTTTGTGATAGATAACAATAGCAATGTGGAATTTAAACAATACCTGTGATTTCTACTGATGATAAAGCCATGTATGTACACAGATGGTGTTAAAGCTTAGCATTACTTTCATAATTGAAAGATGTACACTGCAGTTATAGCTTAGAGAAAATATAGACTTTCTTCTCCTAATAGACATGTGGACTCAAGATTCTATGGAACTTCTTGGCCTGAGGAACTTCCATTGATGCCCAAATCATCACTCCACCTGAATTCAAGCCTCTTCCTTGTGGCCTTCCTCTTCCCAATTACTGTACTGGTCTGGAACAGAGGAGGCCATGACACAAGATGATTTTAGCAACCACTATGCCAGACATTAGAGGTTGCTCTGGATTCACAGACTTTTATCTCAATTTTTCAGCCACCATGGGCAAAGTACCATGTGCTGACCCTGTCTGCAAGTTAGAAACTGCTCACCCTTAGACCAGGGGCAGGGATTCTAGTTCCCTCATCCTCCCATCCTCAGTGGCTTTGACAAATCACCTTATGGTGTTAAATCTGTATTATCTTTCATTAAATGAAGTAGATAATATGCCTTCTCTAATGAAAAGGTGAGTGAGAGGATCAAATGAAACTGCATACAAAGTTAAGTATAGTGCTGGAATGTAAGCCATGAGCTATATGACTCCAAGATGGCCTCTGGTGAAACTGACCACACAGAGTGTGGTCGTAGGGCCTGAACTCTGGGCCTGGGTGCTGTCCCTCAGTTCTTCAGCTCAAGGCTAGCGCTCTACCACTTGAGCCATAGGGCCTTTCTGCTTATGTAGTGCTGAGGAATCTAACCCAGGGCCTCATGCATGCAACGCAAACACTCTACCACTGAGCCACCTTCCCAGCCCCCAGCTTTGGATCTTTTAGAAGGGAAGAGATAAAAGCCAAGCTCAATTTTTTCTTGAGACATAAAGAAGGTACATTATACTGAACTATTTTATCTATTACTTGCACACCAATAGAAATGAAGTATATGTGTGTGTAGGTTTTTCTGTATGGATATTTATATTCTTTATTAGGAAAATATTTATATAGACAAAAATATAATGTATGCACTAAAATATTGAGTCAAAGTTATTATCATTGTTACCTTCTTTTATTTTTTTCTGTACTTGTTCTTTTTGTTTCACTTGGAGTATAAATTGCTTATAGGCAAAAGAAAGAAAGGAAAGAAAGAAAGAGAGAGAGAGAAACACAACCTGAATTAACAAATTACTAAAGGATTCAAATGATAAATCAGAAATTATCAAAAGAAAATAAAGTCCAAATTTACAAAATTGCTGGAGCTCCAAACTGCCTTTTGAACATAGTATCCATGACCACAAGTCTGAACTTCAGTTACTCATTTTCCTCGGTGAGGCAGTCCTGGCCCTTGTGATTCTAAGGGAGGGCCCAGATCAGGGCTGGAAACTATCTGGGTCATGGGGGAAGGCCTTTCCTGCGTATGTTTGTTCTCTTTGGCTCCCTGCTCCTCCCTCCACTGACTAGGGAGCCAATGATCCTGGGTGGGGAGGGAGCTAATGACCTCTTTCCCTCAGGTTGGTTTTCCACATAGCTGGGCCTCCAAGATGTGGGGTACTTGGGCAGCCATGGAGCATAGTCTGCCCTCAACCTCTTGTTCACTTCCTTCTTCTGATGGGGTAGGCTTAGTCTTCCCTGGGCATCATGGTGGCCTGTGCTGAGGATAAATGCAGGCATCAGAGGCAAGGGGGAAAGATGTCTTCCTCATGCTTGATGATAAGCCCATGGCTACTCCTATCCTTAACACCTACCATCAAAGCCTGTTTTACAGCATGATTTTGATCACTTGGTTTACACATGGCTATTTTTCTCACAAGAAGCTGGCATTTAGAAATTAGGCACTGGAGATAGGGGTTTAAGATTCAGCATTTCCCTCTCATTCTCTTCCTGTTCAATTCACCCCCCAGCTAGGAGCACAAGGACCTCCCAGACCAGTAATGTTCTCAAAGATAAGTAAAAGGCTGACACTTGCCTTTTGAAAACAAGAAAATGGAAGGGAATAGAAAATGTTTTCTTAGTGACAATAGCAAAAATGCTTTCCTTTCTTGAAAATCTGAACATAATTGAGAGTGCCACAGAATATAGACAGTTACACTCTAACAGATTTTTTTTCTTTTTAATTTTTCTTGTAAAGGTGCTGTACAGAGGGGTTAGAGTTACATGAGTAAGGCAATGGGTACATTTCTTGTCAAGCTTCCTTAACCTCTCCTTTGTTGTACTCCCAATATCCCTTCCCTCCCCCAGCTCCCACACTCCTCCCCCCCACCCAGAAGTTGTAAAGTTCATTTCCAATATACTGTCTTATGGGTATCATTGCTGCAATGGGTCCTCCTGTGTCCTTGTTTCAGCGTTTTATTATTCCCCTTCCCCTCCCCATTTTGCTCTTGAATCCTACCGAGTAGCAAGAAGTAAGTTTTACTGTGAGAGCCTGTCTCTCAGATGGATAAGTTCATGTATGAGACTGATGTCACCATTCTGTTTGGGCTCCATCCAGTGGCCTGTGTCTGCTCTGTTATATCACCACCTTCTCCACCTCCCAATTATTTGATTTCCACTTTGTTGGCTTGTGCATTTCCTTAGAAGAATAGTTTATCATTTCAGTGACCATCTTCTCAACAGACAATCCAAATACAAATTATTGGGTAACATTGATCAATATGCATTGTGCTCATGAACTAAAATGTTGAAACCTCTTTGTAGTAGTACTTAAAGATTATTTTAAGGGTTTTTTTTAGCTTGATTTTTCTTATTTTCTTTAAGGAGTTGCACAAAGGGGTTTCAATTCAACTTCCTATTTATCTTCCCAAAATACCTCAAATTTAACCAACCTTACTGGTTCTAATTTGAATTTTCTTTCTACTTTGAAGACTTAAGACATCATCTTTGATTATCTATCATATACAGGAACAAAAAGAATGTTCTTTTTGGTGTTGATCTTCCTCATCCTCTGTGCTTTCCTGTGGAATTACAAAGAACAACTGCAGATTGCAGACATCACTGAGAAGTATATTTTCATCACCGGATGTGACACTGGATTTGGAAACTTAGCAGCTAAAACTTTTGATAAAAAGGGGTTTCGTGTAATTGCTGCCTGTCTAACTGAATCGGGATCAACCGCTTTGAAAGCAGAAACTTCCGAGAGACTCCACACTGTGCTTCTGGATGTAACCGACCCAGAGAAAGTCAAGAGCACCGCCCAGTGGGTGAAAAATCATGTTGGGGAAAAAGGTGAGAGAAGGTCAAGATGGTAAAGATACAGGGCAGTGACCTAACTAAAACAAAATAAAATAGGATAGCATTGTAAAACAGCCTTTCCAGAAAATGGCTCCTGAACACAAGGTGTGTATTTATCTAAACTCAGCAGAAATTTGGAGTTATTGCACATCAGGGGCTCTGTGTGTGTAAGACACACCCAGATGGTGCTCAGCCTTAAGTCACAGTGAGAGAATTCAGAACAGAGATGTGAATCTTGACTTTTCCTGGTCTCCTGTGAAGGACCACTCCGGCCACATACATGGCACAAGAAATCAGGGTTAAAATTTCCAGTAGAATATGAGAGCAACCCTCAAAGCTGGATCCTTGGGTCCTACTTTTCTACCACAATGGCTCTAGAGGCTATACATTTTCAGTGGGTCAGACAGAAAGGGGCTAGTTTAAGTCTTAGACAGTCGAGTGTGTATGAGCCATCAGACATTCTCTACACTAGGTTCTGCTAAGATGGTTGCATTCTGAACTGGAAGGGTTTTATCAGCTTTGATCAAAATTAGAAATACTCCCATGGAGGAAAGTATTAGTGCTCACAAAAGGATGTGTGTTTCTTTTCTCATTTACATCTTTATCCTGTATCTGAGAATATGATTTCATAAGGCTCCAGATAATGGTTAATGTTTTAATTCCAAACACCTTTAACAACACTAAGTGTAAAATAAGCTTCATAAATGACTGAACATGTTTACTAAAAATATAGAGTAGATTCATATTACTATTCTTTGCCCATACAGAATATTTTATAAATATAGTATGAATTTGTCATCCAGCCAGGTAGGAAAACCAGACCAATAGACTTACACATCTGCCATGAGAAAAAAAAGATAGTCTCACTTGGAAAGTATCAGTATTTGAAATTCAGAACCCTAAATAGAATAACAGTGAGACTAAACCCAAGAACCAAACTTTAACGATTACAATTTAGCCTCCCATTCTCTGTTATCACTTCTCCAAACTTCAAAGTCATTCAAGGCAGATATATGACTACAAAGAGGAAATGACTTCATTGTAGAAAGCAGAAGATGAGCTTCCAACAAGATGCCCTACACATGCTACCTTCTCTCCCTCTCTGTTCTAGGTCTCTGGGGTCTGATCAATAATGCCGGCATTCTTGGTGTGCTGGCTCCCACCGACTGGCTGACCGTGGAGGACTACAGAGAACCCATTGAAGTGAACCTGTTTGGACTCATCAGTGTGACATTAAATATGCTTCCTTTGGTCAAAAAAGCTCAAGGGAGGATTGTCAATGTCTCCAGCATTGCAGGTCGTCTCGCATTTGGTGGAGGGGGCTACACTCTATCCAAATACGCAGTGGAGGGCTTCAATGACAGCTTAAGGTAATGTAAAGTAACTGACTTAAGAAATATTAGCTGTGAACATTGATTGAATGTTTAGTAGCTATCAGACACACTGTTTAGTACTTTAAATTATTTCTCCTCTATAAATGATACCACTGAAGCTAAAATAATTAAGTATCTTGGCTAAGGTCACCCATAAATCAGTGGCACAACTGAGATTTGAACTCATCTAATTCTAAGTTTTGTCTTAATGCATGATACTAATAATGGTAGTGAATTAATATTCAGTGGGTCAGTTTGTCAGATAAGGATAGGAAATTAGAGAAAGTGAATCAAGGTAGGCTTCACCATGGTTGCTACTAGTCATTTGAGATACAACATAATCTTACTTAAACCCTCAGTAGAAAAGTATGCATTCTTACCTACCTGGTCAATGTACTCAGTCCACCTATTACAGAAGGAGGAGAGAAGGATGTGTTTAATGGATTTTATCTGAAATCAGAATTTATCACTGAAATAATTGCAAGTGGTTCTTTCAGTTGAGGTTCTGACAAGAGATGATAACATATTAAAATTGGGTAAAGGAAGTAGAGTTATCTTATTTTCAGTCAGGTAGGTGACATAGAAGGAAATCCTAAATGTAGTATTTAGGAGTTAATGATACTAGGGACATTGTTGTTTTTCATTTTTATTGTGAAAATACTGTACAGAGGGGTTACAATTACATGGGCAAGATAATGAGTACATTTCTTATCAAGCATTGTAGGAACCTCCTCCTTTGTTTCCCCTTCCCATCCCTTCCCATCCTCCCCCCACCCCCCACTCCTCCCCCCCCTCTTTCCTCCCCCCTCCCACCCTTCACCTCACCCCCCCACCCCGCACCAAAGTTGTAAAGTTCGTTTTTCGACATAACGACTTGTACATCTCATTGTTGCAATGGGTCCATCTGTATCTACTAGGGACATTTCTATGCATAGACTGAAGACAAGGAGTCAGGGAAGCTTCCAGAACACGGAGACAAAAAGGCTGTCAGCTTCCATTGAGGGATAAAGTAATTCATGTTGACAACACAGGCAGAATAACTAGCTCTTCTCTCTTCCCTCCCCTTCTCTCTATCTCTGATATCCTTCTGGCACATCAGTGTTCCCATTGGAAGCCAAGGTATAGGTAAAATTGGTGAACCACCACAAATGTGGCGCTGGCAAAAGGGACTGAAGAAATAAACGGAAAATAGCCAGCTAAGTATACTGTGAGAGAAGACAATATTAGATGACATTCCTTCATTTCATCTCTTTATTTAATTAACTAGTATGTGTTGAAGACCTGTGTTAGAGTTTGTCATCTATGCCATAGATTTAGAAGTAGCTTACTAGCAAAAGGACAGATTAACTCCATGAAATTAAAGATGAAATAACTCATTTTTCCATGTGATCATGTTGCCAAGTTTGATTCTCCCAGGAAATAAATGAATAATCTTGGAATAATGTTTACAAAACATTCGATGTGAATTTGAGTCGCTAGCTTTGGATGTTGTGAAAAATGCAAAATGGAGTGGGCCTGGAGTAGAGCCCAAGTTTCTGGTTTTTGAACCCACCAGAATGTTCCTGATGGATCCAATCTAACACATTGAGTAGAAAGGTCATGGAGAACCTTTGTTAGTCCCATTAGTTGACCATTGGTTGCAGTCTACAAGCAGCAGTATTGTAAAAGAAATTTTTCAAAATAGTATATTTAGAGGTTTGTTCACTCCCCAGTTCTGGGGATTGAACTCAGGGCCTACATACTGTCCCTGAGGTCTTTTGTTCAAGGTTAGCATTTTGCCCCCTGAGCCACAGCTCCACTTCCAGTTTTAGAGATCAGAGTCTCAAGACTTTCTTGCCCATGCTAGCTTTCAAACACGATCCTCAGATCTCAGCCTTTTGAGTAGTGAGGATTCCAGCCCTTTGTTCACAGATTTGTGGAATTTTCAGTCTATCTATACAATACCTGAATCATGAGATTGGTATGTGAAGTGGTATTTTGCATTCAGAAACAGTCCAGTTCCAAAATATCTACCTATAGTAGAGTTTACGGGCAATAGTCTGAGAAAGGATCAGGATTCTTGAAAGCTGCATTTGCCTAACACACATTCTGATTTCCTACTGATTTTGTTTACTTTGTAAGCTTAGGTGGCTTGTCTCTAGATAAGATGTTATTTTCATGAGAGAATAGAAGTTCTCAAATATTCTCTTGGAACTTTTGTTTCCAAGATCCAACAGAGATCAGCGGGCAGGTGAATAAAATATAATTAAGCCAGAAAATAACCTTTTTGTAATGTAAGTTAACTGTCTTTCAAAATCTTTCTATGTCAAGCTGATATCCATTTTAATAAAGTATATTTCAACTTATACAATAGGTTTGGGGGAGTAAAATTACAACCTTTTGAAATTCATAAAAATAATTTTTAACAATGGAAAATGGATTCAATCACATCTTAAGTTCACTACTAGAGCATTTAAAAACTCTTAATGGTGAAGACCTCTTCAAAATGAGTCATTCCTTTGTTGTATATTCATGATGGGATTACACATTAAACTTAGGAAAGGATTCTACTGGTCTGTCATGCCTTGTTTTGCTTTCAAGAGAGGGGCACCACAAGGCTTCCAAATCCTTGACAGCCAGGAAATGAGTAGAATTTTGGTTTTCTGTAGTGACATGATATAAAAGCTTGCTCCACAGCCTAGGGACCCGGTGAGGTCCATCAGAGATGGTTGTGTTGTGGCCTTCAGCATCCTCATTTTGTGCAATAGTCTCTGCATATTTATAAAATGAAGGTAAACTTTTCCATCCAAGCCAGTCAATGGCTATTGGTCCACTTCCCCATAAGTTACTTTGTGTACTGCGAAGAAACAGTCTTAGCCCCATTTCTTTATCAGTTTCCTGAGATAAGTGTGGCTTACAAAGGTAAAGCACTGGAATGGTGGTGTGCCAAGCCAATTTCTCTGGACCTGTTTTTTTCATCTGCTAAATGACAAGGTAAAAAATGGATTGATGCTTGTTTCCAATACACACGATTCTGTGGCTCCATGAAAAGATTTATGAGAAAATAGTCAGAAAAACAGCATACATCCTACAAATAAATCTAGATTAAAAGCAAAATTAGGGCTTGGGATAGAGTGCTTGCCTGGCATGAATGAAGTCCTAGATTCAATGCTGAGCACTGGGAAAAAATCCTTAAATAAGAAAACATCTTCAACTATTCTTTCCACAGACGGGACATGAAAGCTTTTGGTGTGCACGTCTCATGCATTGAACCAGGATTGTTCAAAACACATTTGTCAGATCCAATAAAGACAACTGAAAAGAAGTTTGCCATTTGGAAACATCTGTCTCCAGACATCAGACAGCAGTATGGAGAAGGATACATTGAAAAATGTGAGTTGCGGGGTGGAGCCAGTGCCCTCTGGGGCATTGTCTGGGGCCACTCTCCTAGCCAGCATGAAGGAGACCTAACCATAAATTAATGTTCTCAGAATAATACACCAACTGAGATTTTAAAACTGGATCAGAGGTCATTATCAGTTCCAACGCCATCTCTTGCTTCTCTGAGCCTATAAAATTCACTGTATGTTCACTAAGTAGCAAGTTCTATGGTAAGACCATCTAACTACATAATTTATTCCTTGAAAGAACTACTGGAATAGTGAACAGAGGCTTTGCAATGTTCCAACCAAAGTTACGCAACCACTCCTGGACTCACGTAAGTTGCTCTAGGGCTCGTGGTCCTCATCTCTACAAAAAGCACCAGTCGTTCACTCAACGTTATTGGAGGATTTCTGGAAGTTATAAAAGAATAAAGAAGACTCAGAATCTGACCCTTACAATCTAATAATACAACAAAATGTAAACAGTGAGATTGTGAAACAAGGAAACTACAGTACACAGCCTCTTAGCTGTAAACCCAAATCCCAGAAGTATTACTCGATAGTATGGTATTTAGTTGCTCAAGGGATTTAGAGCAGAAAATGTGCACTGCTGCTTAAAAAGTCTTAGTGGAACAGGTCAGGCTTGAATAACATCTAAGAAACAGGAATAAATTATTTAGATGGAACTTCTAGGAGCAGTAACGTATGGAGAGGGAAATAGGTCATAAAAGTCATGAGTCAGCTGGGTGCTGGTGGCTCACGCCAGAAACCTTGGCTATTCAGAAGGCTGAGACTCAGAGGATTGCATCTGAAGCCAACCTAGGCAGACAAACCATCAGACACCATCTCCAGAATAACCAGCCTCAAACCAGGCTGGTGGTGTGGTTCAAGTGATAGAGCACCAGTCTAGTAAGCAAACAAGGTGAGTAAGCAATCTGAGCAAGTTCAAGGCCCTGAGTTCAAACTAGTACTGGTGGGGGAAAAAAAGTCATGAGTCAAAAGACTGAGTCAGAGAGGAAGAATAATAATAAAGATTACATAATGATGATTACTTCTGTGAACATTTACTAGGCATTTATTACCATTCTAAGTGCTTCACAAGCTTTTGTTCATTTACAATCCCTAAACTGGAGAGACAGTTCTATGATCTCCTGCATTTTGTAGAAATAAAGACCTGGGAAAGAAACTTACCTGAAATTGCACAGCTCTTCCCTTGTAAGTGGAAGAGCCAGATTTGAACCCCGCCAGCCTGACTGCAACTGGCACTGCACTATAATACAAACAATGCATTGAGGACACTGGTCAGACTTACCTCACACTTTTTTTTTTTTTTTGGTCCAGTCGTGGGGTCTGAACTCTGGGCCTGGGGGCTGTCCCTCAGCTCTTCAGCTCAAGGCTAGCACTCTACCACTTGAGCCATAGCACCACTTCCGGCTTTTTTCATTTTGCTTATGTGGTGCTGAGGAATCGAACCCAGGGCCTCAGGCATGCAAGGCAAGTGCTCTACCACTGAGCCACCTTCCCAGCCCCTACCTCACACTTTTTGTCTCTATTGATGTTGATTTTCCTGTTCCTCAAACATTTATAGAGCTCTTGCTTTAAGTTATATAGACACTACTGTGGCACAGTTCAAGGTCAGAAGTTTTGCGGTAAAGGCAAAAGCCAAGTCAGATACACTTGGGAGGAATTTGAAATAACTGACACCCCCAATTACCACCACCCCAACACAAAAGCACACACACATGCATGTGTCACACATATATGTAGCATATCTTTTGTCTTATTACAATAGCCATTCTAAAAGGTACAAGGAGCTAGCTCATTGAATTTGTATTTCCCTGGTGAGTAGTGATGTTGAATATTAAAACAATTCATATTGTTTACCAATTCTTCATCAAATGTAGTGTGTACAAATAATTGTCCCATTCCATAAGCAGTCTGTTCATTCTTTTAACTAATGCCTTCTCAGTGCAGAAGTTTTTATTTTCTACAATGCCATCTATTGTAGCTTTTGTTGTCTGCATCTTGGAGTCATAGCCAAAAAGTTATTGCCCAGACCAATGTCAAAAAGGGTTTACCCTACATTTTTTTCCTAATAGTTTTATACTTTTAGGTCTTACACATGTCCTTGATCCATTTTGAACTAACTTTTGAACATGGCATGAGACAGGCGTCCAATTTCACGCTTCTACATATGGACATCTAGTTTTCCCAACACCTTTTATTGAAGAGATGGGCTCCAAACCATGACTGATTGCTTGTAAGGTACCTATCTCTCAGAAAGGATCTTAGCTCATTTCCTGAGATACTTCAAACCTCTTGACTCAGAATGTTTGGAATGATTCACGCTTTCCTCTCAGAATTATGGAGGCCTGTGGTATTGTGTCCATACTCTCATATCCATGAGTTCCTACACACTCACAGAAAACACACGTGCACACTCACAGTACTTCTCTAAGACAATTTAGGAACCAAACCTATAACTTCCTAGGCTTAGGGACTTCATGGGCCTTATAAAGTATCTTTCTCCTATTGTCTTGAAGGAATAGTCCTCAAAATAGAGTCCTTTGACCTCAGCAAGCATCTCACCTAGAAATGTGTTAGAAATACAAACGCCAGGGCTGGTGGCCTGTGGTAGAGTGCTTGCCTTGCATGCATGAGGCCCTGGGTTCGATTCCTCAGCACCACATAAGCAAAAAGAAAAAAGCCAGAAGTGGCGCTGTAGCTCAAGTGATAGAGTGCTAGCCTTGAGCTGAAGAGCTGAGGGACAGTGCTCAGGCCCAGAGTTCAGGCCCCACGACCAGAACCAAAAAAAAGAAAAAGAAAAAAAAAAGAAATACAAATGCCTTGACCTTACCTCACATCTTTTTTACTCAGAAACTCTAGATTTGGAACCCAGAAATCTGATTTTTAACAAACCTGCTAGGTTTGCCACCTGAACTTGGCCAGCCTCCTTCCTTGGGGACCAGATAGAAAGTCATACCAGTGGGCCTCAATTCTAATGGCAAAGTCAAAATAGAGTCCCTCCCCTTTGCACCCTCGCTTCCCCTCTGCTCTTTCTCTTCTCCAAGACTCAGTATGCTTCTGTCTCTTTGAATAGGTCTAGAAGGACTGAAGAGAGCTACAGCCTCTGTAAACGTGGACTTGTCCTTGGTGGTGGAGTGTATGGACCATGCTCTCACAAGTCTCTTCCCGAAGACTCGCTACACTGCTGGAAAAGATGCCAAGACTTTTTGGATCCCTCTGTCTCATATGCCAGCAATGTTTCAAGACTTTTTATTGTTGAAACAGAAAGTAGAGCTGGCTAATCCCAAGGCAGTGTGACTCAGCTGGCCACAAATACCCGCCCCAGGCCACGAGAGGCCACCTCCAAGGACACAACTTTCCAGCCCTTCGCAATTCATCAACTAATGCAAGGTGATAAAAGGAATCTCACCATCCCCAACACTGTTTCTAGGTCCCGTTTCAAGTCACTTTTGAAACTCAAAGGGACAGAGATGGCGTATCACGTAGACCAGTCCTGCCTAATATCGAGGCTTTGCCTGTTTTTTTTTTTTATTTTTACTGTGAAAAATACTGTACAGAGGGGTTACAATTACATGGGCAAGATAATGAGTACATTTCCTATCAAGCATTGTAGCCTCCTCTTTTGTTTCCCCTTCCCATCCGTAGGGGAGAGGAGGCTTTGCCTGTTTTGTAGGATTGAAAGACTTACATTCATAAACAGATCCAATGTGTTTATTTATCTCGTTTGGAACTGGAACTCAGTTTGATCACCTTTGAGAGTGACAAGAAAAGGAAGAGAGCTAACTCATTATGTGACATTGATACAAACTAACGCACAGGAGAAAACAAAAGTAGGTAGAAATGCACATCAATGGAAAGAAAAAGGAGCGTTGATAAAGGGACTGTAGAAATGATACACACATGGCGGCAGGGGCCCCAAAGCAAGCATCCCATGTGACAGGGCACTCCCAAGGATTTGCATCCTGTTTAAGGCCCCTTGATCCTTGACTCGCCCAGTTTTCTGGTGGGAGGATGGAAATCACAGAGAAGTCAATCCTTCCAAAGGGATAACACACAGGATATTTATGTTTACTTTGTAACCAGACCAAGACTTCCTGTATACCTCACATTTGACATTGGTTAGAAATGTTGTATTTGGGGTGTCACTAGATCTCCAGAAAGATAAAGGGCTAAATTTAAAGGTTGTCTTACAGTTACAATGTGTTCAGATCTCACCTAGGTTATCCAAAAACACTGTCTTTCCCCTGGTATAATAGTCAAAGTAATAGCCATGGTGTTTCTTAACTCTTCGTATATAGGTCCGATTCTTAATTCATTTGCTACGTGTTACATCATGATTTCATCTAACCTGAACCATCTCTTAGTTGGGGATGTTCTTCAGAGATGAAGAAATGAAGTCACAAAGAAGTGAGCAATGTTCCCAAGGTTATCCTACCAGTAGGGATGGGCCAGCACCAACCCAAGCAGCTGATGTCTTGACTATGCTCCTAGTACTGTGCTACCTAATAAAGAATCAGAGTCTTCCAGATGATCTTTCTAAACTTTGAATCTGGTTGTACAAAGTCAACCTTTATTAGCTTTGCCCAGCCAATAATGCATACAAGTGATGTATCATTTTGAGTAATAAGGATATTCTTGTTGTTGTATGTGCTGGTAGTAGGGCCTGCGCTCAAGACCTCACTCAAGGCTAGTGTTCTACTACTTGAGCCATGCCCTCATTTCTGGTGTTTTGCTAATTAAATGAAAATAAAAGAATTTCATGGACTATTCTGCCTGGCCTGGCTTTGAACTGTAATCTTCAGATCTCAGTCTTAATTGCTAGGATTCCAGGCATGATCCACCAGCACCTGGCTCAAGGATATCTTTCTGCTTTTTTAAAATTTCTCTAACTTACGATAAAACAATATAAGCAGTTATATTTAAATTCCTAGATCCTTGAAGATTCCTGGTATGTTTTCCTTTTTTTCTGTTTCCCTACTCTTTCTTTTCTGTTTTTTCTTGTTGTTGTTGTGAATTTGTATTGTTAGTTGTCTTAGAAATACATTTGTAAGCATTTGTTGGTAATGTCAATAAAGCCTTTGGATCAACTCTCTTGACCCAGGACTGACACTTGAATCTTTCAGCTTTTAAAGAACAGACTAAGGATCTGAAATCACAATGCCACAAATACTGTTTCTTGATGACTGGATTGTGAGGACTGTCTGGTCAGTGTGGAGAGCGCCCCCCCCCCCTCCCCCGGGAGCTCCGATGAGGGAAGCAGGGGATCCCAGCCAGAATGAGGTCAGGGCCTCCCAGCACCACCCCACTGCAGTCAGTGCTGGAGTTTCCAATTTGGCTAAAAGAGGTCACCCAGCCCAGCATCTATGTCATGAGACATTTCACTCAGAACATTCCCAGTGTGACACGTTTCTGCTCCAATACTACTGAAGAATGGAAGGTCACCACCTTCTAATTGCCTTGATGATTAGCTCTAGTTACTAGAACATTTTTTATTAACGTTAGTAAAAATATCTGGGGTGAGGGGAAAGGAAAGTGTTGTCACTTCTGCTGCCATCATAATAATAATTGTTCCTGTTCATCAGACCTTTACAATGAGCCAGACTACCCACAATGCCATCCATGAATTTACTTCAGTGTTTACACCTTTCATACAGCAGGCATTTTCTTGTTTTGTTTTATAAGCTAGGAGCCTAATATTCAAACTTCTTTCATCTCTGAGGATCTAGGATTCCTAAATTCCCCTTGCATTCTGGTCATATGGCACACACTAGTGCACACATAGGCAAGAATTCCTAGTCTCCAAAGGCAGAGGAAGTAACAAGAGCCAAATGCTTCTTGTCTCAGTTCTCACAAAACCAGAGATTTTACATTTTTCAGTTTTTCTTTAGCCTCTAACAAAGGGGATGGAGCCACCAGGGAAGGAAACAGAAATCAAGGTGAACTTAAACAAAACTTCAGACTTGCTCAGAGGCAGCCCCAGAGTTAGCTCAGGGGAGAAAAAAGGTGATGGAGGAGGAGAAGGAGGAGGAGGAGGAGGAGATGGAGGAGGAGGAGGAAGAGGAGGAGGGGAAGAGAAAGAGGGGGAAGAGGAAGATACGGAGAAGGCTAAGGGGAACAGGAGGAGGAGGAAGAGGAACAAAAGGAGCAAGAGGAGGAAGAGAAGGAAGAAGAAAGACTGGAAATATTTTTAGAGCAATTTACAACCTGAGGTCCTTGGCTAGCTCTGCTGTCTGTCCAGAGCTCTATATCCACAAGTTCTGAAACTTCAGACTCAATCCATCACAGACTAGAAGTATTTTAACAATTGCATCTGTGCTAAATACATACAAACTTGGGTTTTTCTTGTCATCATTCCTTATCTGTCAGTCTATTTACATCACATTAGCTTTGTACTAGGTATTACATCTAGAGATAACTGAAAGTATTCAGAAGGATGTGTATAGATTATATGTAAATAACTGGCATTTTCTACTAAGAATTGATTTTGATGTCAGTGCGAGGTTGTGGCCTACCTATTAAAATGGGTGTTATAAATAGACATGGAATACATAAATCAGTAGAACTGTGTGAAGGTGTAAAATAATTCTTCCCATCTCCCAACACACACACACTCCAGTTCCTAGCAAGGAGTTCCTCCTGCATTCCCCTGAGATGTCTAGATTTGGAGGCACAAAGAACAGCCTCATAAATTGTAGCAGCACTGCACAACTTTTCTCTATTTTGCTGTATGATATAGTCACAAATTGTAATGGACGAAAGACTGATAATTCTAATAATTCTAATAATAATAATGCTCATGCCAGTGGCTCATGCCAGGTACCATGGCTCTAATTCTAGCTACTCAAGGTGGCTGAGGTCTGAGTCATGGTTCAAAGTCAGCCTGGGCAGGAAAGTCCACTAGACTTTTATCTCCAATAAACCATCAGAAAACCGGAAGTGGCTCTGTGGCTCAAGTGGTAGAGCACTAGCCTTGAGCTGAAGAGCTGAGGGACAGCACCCAGGCCCAAAGTTCAAACCCCATAACTGACAAACATCATCATCATCATCATCATCATCACCATCATCATCATCATACTGCTCATAGTGACTCTTTTCGAGTCCAGCCCACTTTACACAATAGTGGACTAGGACTGCTTCAGGTCATTTTATCCTGCCTGACTTAAGAAGACAACACCTACAGGTTTTATACAACAAAGCAGTTACCCTTTCACAAAACACATATTGAAGTCGGTATTCCTACACTCTTGTTTCCTCTCTTAGTACAATAATCATCTTTTCTTCAGATAGAAATGGAGGTCATTGTGTTCATTGTGAACAGTTCTTAAGAGTAGAATGCCATTTATCAACAACTGTTGTTACAAGTAGATGATGTGTTGCTCCCCTATACAAAGTCAATTCATTCTTTCAGAAAGCCACTCTAAAACACAGCATTACCTTTTGAGTTCTTGATTTACTGAGAGTCAGTCCCATGATATCAACAGTAATACTTTCAAAAATTAGATACTGACTGAAACTTCCTTTCACTTCTTTATTTCATAAGCCTGTTCTGTTTGTGTAGATGGATGCTCAGATATCCTTTTACTTGACAATTAGCTAATAACAGCATCAACAAACTTTCTCTATTTGATTCTAAAAGCTAAGTCTTTCTGACAGTTCTCTGTTAAAGAGGAACTGGAGCCACCACGCTGACATGAACCCTAAAACACAGGACAGAAGGGAGGTGTATGGCTGTATGATCTTTACAGACATAAGCATGTTAAAATGAAGTCATCAAAGTAGGTCTTAATCTAATATGACTGATGTCCTCATAAGGGGATATTTGGACAAAGAAAAACAGGCTCACAAATAATAAGATGCACAGGCACGATGGCTATCTATTAGCCAAGGAGAGAGGCCTGGAAAAGACCTTTCCCTCATAATCTGAGAGGAGCCAGCCCTGCTACCATCTTGATTTCTGACTTTTAGAAGTATAAGGGTAGATTTCTGTTGTATAAGCCACCAGTCTGTAGGACTTTAGCATGGAGCCACACGGTGACCTGAATGTAGTATTATTTTGGTGAATTCATAGAGCAAAAGCATCATGAGTATTATTGTTGTTGTTGTTTTTGTCATTCCTGGGGCTTGAACGCTGGGCCTGGGCGCTGTCCCTGCACTCTTCAGCTCAAGGCGAGTGCTCTACCGCTTGAGCCACAGCGCCACTTCCGGTTTTTTAGTGGTTTATTGGAGATAAGAGTCTCACGGACTTTCCTGCCCGGGCTGACTTTGAACCACAATCCTCACCACGATCCTCAGATCTCAGCCTCCTGCGTAGCTAAGATTATAGGCGTGAGCCACCAGCGCCCAGCATGAGTATTGTTAAGAAGAAAAACTTGTAAGAA